TCTCCTCTGCTGTCCAGGCTACAGTACAGTGATGCTATCTTGGGTCACAGCAACTTCTGCCTCTGGGTTCAGGTGATTCCCCTGCCTTAGACTCTTGAGTAGCTGGGACTACAGGCCCATGCCCCCATGCCCGGCTAATTTTTTGTATTTTTAGTAGAAACAGGGTTTCATCAATTTGACCAGGCCGGTCTCAAACTTCTGACCTCAAGTGATCTGCCTGCCTTGGCCTCCCAAAGTGCAGGGATTACAGGCGTGAGCTACTGTGTCCAGCCAGATGTTAGGATTTGAACTCAGGCCTGCCTCTTTCTAAAACCCATGGATTTGGCTGGGCACAGTGGCTCATGCCTATAATCCCAGCACTTTGGGAGGCCAAGGCAGGTGGATGACGAGGTCAAGAGATTGAGACCATCCTGGTCAACATGGTGAAACCCCGTCTCTACTAAAAATACGAAAATTAGCTGGGCATGGTGGCAAACACCTGTAGTCCCAGCTACTCGGGAGGCTGAGGCAGGAGAATTGCTTGGACCCAGGAGGTGGAGGTTGCAGTGAGCCGAGATCACACCATTGCACTCCAGCCTGGGTAAGAAGAGCAAAACTCTGTCTCAAAAAAATAAGATAAAACCCATGGTTTTTAACTGTTTTTAATTTTTTATTAATTTGATTTTATTTGATTTTTTAAACCTTTTATTTTATTACTTTTGTTTGTTTTTGAGACAGAGTCTCATTCTGTTGCCCAGGATAGAATGCAGTGGTGCGATCTCGGCTCACTGCAACCTCTGTCTCCTGAGTTCAAGCAATTCTCTGGCCTCAGCCTCTTGAGTAGCTGGGATTATAGGCATCTACCACCACGCTAGGCTAATTTTTGTATTTTTAGTAAAGACAGGGTTTCATCATGTTGCCAGGCTGGTCTCACACTCTTGACCTCAGGTGACGTACCCGCCTTGGCCTCCCAAAGTGCTGGGATTACAAGCTTGAGCCACCGCGCCTAGCCTACTACTTATTTATTTATGTGTTTTTTTAGAAACAGGGTCTCTCTCTGTTGCCCAGGCTGGAGTGTAGTGGCAGATCACAGTTTATTGCAGCCTTGAACTCCTGGGCTCAAGTAATCCCTCTGTCTCAGCCTCCCCAGTACCTGGGACTATAGGCACACACAACCACACTTAGCTAATTTTTTTAATTTTAATTTTTTTAGAGACAGAGTCTTTCTCTGTTACTGGTATGGTATTGGAACTCCTGGCCTCAAGCTATCCCCTTGCCTCAGCCTCCTGAGTAGCTGGGATTATAGACATGAGCCACTTTGGGAAGTCAAAGTGGGAGGATTGCTTGAGACCATGAGTTCAAGACCAGCCTGGGTAACAGCAATGTCATTTCTGGGTATTCACCCAAAAGATTTGAAATCAGTACATTGAAGAGATATCTGCATTCCCATGTTTATTGCAGCACTATTCACAGTAGCCAAGTTATGGAATCAACCTGTGTTCATCAACAGATTAATGAATAAAGAAATATGCTGTATATATACAATGGAGTGCTATTCAACTTTATTTATTTATTTATTTATTTTAAAGACGGGGTTTTACCATGTTGGTCAGGCTGGTCTTGAACTCCCAACCACAGGCGATCCACCCACCTTGGCCTCCAAAGTACTTGGATTACAGGCATGAGCCACCATGCCCAGCCTCAACTTCATTTTTTTGAGATAGGGTCTCACTCTGTCACCCATGCTGGAGTGCAGTGATGTGATCATGGCTCACTGCAGCCCTCGAACCCCTTGGCTCAAGTGATTCTCCATTCTCAGCCTCCCAAGTAGCTGGGACCACAGGCATGCACTACCATGCTTGGCTAATTCTTTTTTATTTTTTGTAGAGATGGGGTCTCACTGCGTTGCCTGGACTGGTCTTGAACTCCTGGGCTCAAGTGATCCTCCCACCTTAGCTTCCCAAAGTGCTGGGATTACAGGTTGGGAGCCACCTCACTCAGCCTCAGCTTTAAAAAAGAAGGAAAATCTGAGCCGGGCATGGTGGCACACACCTTAATCCCAGGTATCGGGAGGCTGAGGCAGGAGAATCACTTGAACCCAGGAGGTAGAGGTTGCAGTGAGCCGAGATCGCTTCACTGCACTCTAGCTTGGGTGACAGGGCAAGACTCTGTCTCAAAAAAAAAGAAGAAGGAAATTCTTTTTTTTTTTTTTTTTTTGAGACGGAGTTTCGCTCTTGTTACCCAGGCTGGAGTGCAATGGTGCGATCTCGGCTCACCGCAACCTCCGCCTCCTGGGTTCAGGCAATTCTCCTGCCTCAGCCTCCTGAGTAGCTGGGATTACAGGCACGCCACCATGCCCAGCTGATTTTTTGTATTTTTAGTAGAGACGAGGTTTCACCATGTTGACCAGGACGGTCTCGATCTCTTAACCTCATGATCCACCCGCCTCGGCCTCCCAAAGTGCTGGGATCACAGGCTTGAGCCACTGCGCCTGGCCCAGAAGAAGGAAATTCTGTCATTTGTGACAACATGGATGGAATTGGGGAACATAATATTAAGTGAAAGTGAAATAAGCCAAGCACAGAAAGACAAATACTGTAAGTTTTCACTTATACTTAGAATCTGAAACAATCAACTCATGGTAGCAGAAAACAGAATGTTGGTTACAGAATCGGGGGGTCACAGCCGGATGTGGTGGCTCACACCGGTAAACCCAGCACTTTGGGAGGCCAAAGCTGGCAGGTCACGAGGCCAGGAGTTCAAGATCAGCCTGGCCAACATAGTGAAACCCCGTGTCTACTAAAAATAAAAAAAATTAGCCAGGCATGGTGGCATGTGCCTGTTGTCCCAGCTACCCAGGAGGCTGAGGCAGGAGAATAGCTTGAACCCAGGAGGTGGAGGTTTCAGTGAGCCAAGATTGTGCCACTGCACTCCAGCCTGGAGCCTGGTGACAGAGCAAGACTCTGTCTCAAAAAAAAAAAAGAACAAAAATTAGCCAGGCATGGTGGCGCACACCTACAGTCCTAGCTACTGGGGAGGCTGAGGCAGGAGAATTGCTTGAACCTGGGAGACAGAGGTTGCAGTGAGCCAAGACAGCACCACTGCACTCCAGGCTGCGTGACAGAGCAAGACTTTGTCTCAAAAAAAAAAAAAAAAAAAAAAAAAAACCCCTTGGTGGTGCTTTTTTTTTTTTATTTACTGCATTTGGCTGCTGTGTTTTCCATCTCAGTTGCAATTCCCACACTGAGGCTGTCCCACCCTTCCTGTGTCCCTTGAGCTGAGCAGGCACTTCCTGTCCTATTGGAAATGAAAGTTAGAGATTGGGGGTAGGGTATATGTATTTACTCTGCAGAATGCTAATACAATCTGTTCCATTATCACAGCAAAATGTGACAGGCAAACTAGAATAGACACCTGAACTTCATTTGAGGGAGGGTTTGGGCTTCATGTTTGTTGTGACAAAACAGACAGGGTTAATTTATATCTCAAGAGAATACTGAGGATGGCAGCAAAATGGCCTTATAAAGGGATTTAAAGGCTTTTATTTTACATCCCTATTCCACTTGGATTGGTAGGGGTTACTGGATATCACCCTTAAGTTTTTGGTTTCTTTTCTTGTTAAGGTTACTCCTACAAGGACATTCCTTGGAAACTATTAGAGGTAAGTGTTGCAACTCTATTAGGTTCTTGACTCTTACATTTATATTCCTTCCTACGAATTTTGTGTTTTTATTCTGTTTGAACTGTATGCTTTTTAAAAAGTGTTTTGTTTTGTTTTGTTTTGTTTTGTTTTGAACAGCTCGGAGACAACTCGAAGCAGACATCCCAATTCTGTGGACTTTAGTTTAGACATAAATTCCAGGTTTGGTGAGTTATCGTAATTGTTTCAGTTTCATGGATCTTAAAGATGAAGAAATAGTAAAGTGCTAAACAAGGTAGCCTCCAATTGTTAAAGAAATGACTAGGCACCAAGTTTCATGATATAGTTCAGTTTGATAATTGCTTCTTAAGTATGAACTCATTCCTTGGAGAATCTGAAACAGGAGTGAGGGGCATCAGCCCAGCCCATTGGTGTGATACAAGAGAAACAGATCTAAGGATCTGAAACTGGTTATACCCCATACTTTTTTTTGCTTACCTCTGCTCTTTGGAGTGTTCCTCTGTCTGTTCCATTGAACATTAAGATCACTGCAGCCGGGTGCAGTGGCTCACGCCAGTAATCCTAGCACTTTGGGAGGCCGAGGTGGGTGGATCACCTGAGGTCAGGAGTTCAAGACCAGCCTGGCCATCATGGTGAAACCCCATCTTAAATAAATAAATAAATAAATAAGATCACTGCAAATGGGCCAGACGCGCAGGCTCATGCCTGTAATCCCAGCACTTTGGGAGGCCAAGGTGGGCGGATCACTTGAGGTCAGGAGTTCAAGACCAGCCTTGCCAACATAGGAAACCCTGTCTCTACTAAGAAATACAAAAATCAGCCCGGTGTGGTGGTTGGTGCCTGTAATCCCATCTACTTGGGAGGCTGAGGCAGGAGAATTGTGGAAGGCAAAGGTTGTGGTGAACGGGATCCGGGATTGTGCTACTGCACTCCAGCCTGGGTGACAGAGACTTGTCTCCAAAAAAAAAAAAAAAAAATCACTGTAAATGTAAAGTGGGAGAAGTCATGAGCTCATCTCACACAATCTCTGTTTTTTTTTTTTTTTTTTACATGTTCTCCAAGGCAATGTGTCATAGAAGCTCCTTTAAAATCAAGCTTAAAATCTTCTTTTTTCTTTTTTGAGACGGAGTCTCACTCTGTTGCCAGTCTGGAGTGCAGTGGTGCAATCTCGGCTCATTGCAACCTCCGCCTCCTGGCTTCAAGTAATTCTCCTGCCTGTCTCCCGAGTAGCTAGGACTACAGGCACATGACACTATTTCCAGCTAATTTTTGTATTATTAGTACAGATGAGTTTTCACCATGTTGGCCAGGATGGTCCCGATCTCTAAACCTCGTGATTCGCCCGCCTCGGCCTCCCAAAGTGCTGGGATTACAAGCGTGAGCCGTCGCACCCGGCTTAAAATCAAGCTTGAAATCTTACAGCTGAGATCGAAGGGTGGGAAAAAAAAGAAAACAACCTCATTGTCTTTAAATGAGAATCAGAAGTTGTTCTAGAGGAAAGGGGATAAATTTGAAAGGTGTTAGACCTAAGAACTCTTCTTTCTAGCTTTAACTCCTGAGACTATGAAAAACAAACAAAAATAACATTTTGGGCATTAGGACCCAGTGGAAGTGCCTCTGCCTCATTCAGACTCTGTTAACTTCTCTGGTGACGTAAAGGAGCAGCCCGAGCTCATTCTCTGCCCACAGCCCCCCTTCATCTCTCTCCCTCCGGCTTCTTTTCTCCCCCTTTCTGTTCCCCCTCCCTTCTCCCTCTCCCTCCCTTTTCTCTTTCCTCCCTCTCCCCCTGTCCCTCGCTCTCCTCCTCCCTCCCCCTCTTTCTTACTCCCTCCTTTTCTCTCTCTCTCTCTGTCTTACTCACTCAGCTCCCTAACATTAAAGAGAAAATGCTGCTATCCGTGACTTCCAGGCCTGGGATTTCGACTTTGGGCTACAGTAGAAACAACAAGAAGGTAGGGAAAAGCGCTTTTTTGGTATCTAGCTACTTCCTTTTCTGGGGATCTGGCAATGCCCTTGGTTTTAACATTCTTTTTAAAGAGGGGAAGGAGATTCCTCTCTCAAGGTTTCTAATTCCTCACGGCGCTTCTCCCTTTTCCACTACTTTCTGCATCTTTTCTCACCTGGTTCTGGAGTTCAAGGAACTTACAGTCTCTGTGAGGCCTGAAAAGACAGGGGAATTAAAAACAAATCAAGCTTGCAAGTTTGTATCCTTATGAAATGAAGTTAGTTTGACTTCCTGCTAACCTATCAATCTTCACAAGGATAATATGTCATCTCAGACCCTGTCCCCCAGTCCACCCACCACAAGATTATTTTATTTTTTGATGAACTGTTTCCATTCTCTCCCCAACCTTCCCTCCTACCCATATCACCGGTAGTATTAGATAGCTGAAATCATAGAAAGTCAGTGAAACCACAACAGTTTATCAAGAGCTGGATATACTCTTCTAGACTACAGATCCTACCCACCCAGCCGTAGAGAAGGAGTCTTGAGAGACACGCAGTTTGGGATTAAGGCACAGTGTGCTGTAATACTTGGGTCTTGCTTTTGAGCTGATACTTGGAGCTCTGCAGATAGCCAGACTTTGCAGTGATCCTAGGAGTCTTTAGGATTAACCCATGGCTGCCAGAGAGTTGTGCCGTCCTTGGGCACATGGGCAGTCTGGGGAGAGATGGACAATCTTGTCCATACTTGACAAGGAATATCTTTGGCTGTTTCTGGCATTTCAGGGCACACAGTATATTGATTAGGAGGAATTTCACACATTAGCAGGAAGAAGACCCTCTTCATGTTGTAGTTGTTCTTTGAAGAAAAAATGTGACATAGACATTTAGGGAATCTTTTGCTCATCTAATGGAATGTTGGAGGGTGAGGAACAATTCCTGCTGCTTTCTCATGTACCTAAAGAGTGTCTGATCAATGCAGTGGGTAAATGTTTAGATCCAAAACAGTGTTGGTTTATGGGCTTAGTCTATGTGGCACTCATTCTGTTTATATCCTGAAGAAATATGGGTAGAGAGGAGAGGAAATGGGGAGCTATGGGTTAGAGGATACAAAGCAGTAGATAGGTTGGATGAACAAATCCTGAGATCCAATATACAACATAAGGATTATAGATAACAAAAGTGTACTGTATATGGAATTCATGCTAAATGAGCAGATTTTAGCTCCTTTTGCCACAAAAAGAAACGAAAGGGATAACTATGTGGGATGATTAATTTACTTCACTCTAGTAACCTTTCTACTATCAATATGTATCCCATGCTTGTATACCTTAAGTGTACCCAATATCACGAGGTTGAGAAAAAAAAATGTACACAATAAAATTTACTTTAAAAAAGAAATGAGGTGGCTCTGTTGGCTCAATTGGTTAGCATGTTGTACTTATAAAAAATAAATGAGGCTGGCCACGGTGGCTTATGCCTATAATCCCAGTACTTAGGAGGCCAAGGTGGGTGGATCACTTGAGTCAGGAGTTTGAGACCAGCTTGGTCAACATGGTGAACCCCCAAATTAGCCAGGCTTGGTGGCACGCGCCTGTAATTCCAGCTACTTGCCAGCCTGAAGCAGGAGAATCACTTGAACCTGGTGGGGCAGTGAAGGTTGCAGTGAGCCAGGATCTCGCCACTGTACTCCAGTCTGGGTGACAGAGCAAGACACCATCTGAAAAAAAAAAAAGAAATGAAATATGAGTTCATACATATTTGTTGGTTATAAATATATGTTTATATGTACATATACTGATATCCCTTTATCAAATATACATATAGATAATACATTATATATTATATATATTTGAAAGGGAAATATTTCATGTGTCTTTATTCCCTTCAAACTTTGTGGAGTATTATGTGAAAATTTCCTTCCTGATTTTTTCCCTCCTAGTCTCTCCACTTACCCAGAACTCATGAAAAAAAAATGAATTCCCACAATGAATTGCTTCCCTATTAGAGGTTTCATGTATTTGAAGCTATCTAAAAATCTCTTTTCGCTCTCTACTTTCTCTCCCACCTTGGAGTAGAGGAAAAATTTAACTAGCTTCTAAATCTAGGATAGTATGGAGGACAAGAGGTATGGTTCTGAATTTGGGTTGAAATCTCTTATCTCTTCCTGATAACTGTAAGGTTTGGCAATTCAGGAATTGTTGGGATTGGTGAGGGAGGTTGGGTAGATACATAATTATTAATTCCTAATATATTTGTCAATTCTTTGGGTTCTTATAAGTCAATCTTATGATCACATCCAAGGATGCTGCATATGTGCGTCACTTTATGGCCATGCATATGATTCCTTTTGTGTCTATTTAAGTTTGTGAATGTAGAGACTTTTCATATTTTTATTATTTTTACTTTTCTTTTTTTGAGACAAAGTCTCGCTCTGTCACCGAGGCTGCAGTGTAGCAGCGTGATCTCAGCTCACCTCAGCCTCCGCCTCCTGGGTTCAAGCAATTCTCCTGCCTCAGTCTACCAAGTAGATGGACTACAGGAGTGTGCCGCCACACCCAGTCAATTTTTTTGTGTTTTTAGTAGAGACAGGATTTTACCATGTTGGCCAGGCTGGTCTCAAACTCCTGACCTCAAGTGATCCACCTGCCTTGGACTCCCAAAGTTTTGGGATTACACTTTGAGTTGCCAAGTCCTGCCCATATTTTTATTTATTTATTTATTTAAGATGGAGGCTCACTCTGTTGCGCCCAGGCTGGAGTTCAGTGGCTCCATCTCGGCTCACTGCAACCTCCGCCTCCTGGGTTCCAGTGATTCTCCTGCCTCAGCTTCCCGAGTAGCTGGGATTACAGGTGCCCTCCACCATGCCCAGTTCATTTTTTGTATTTTTAGTAGAGACTGGGTTTCACCATGTTGGTCAGGCTGGTCTTGAACTCCTGACCTCAGGTGATCCAATCACCCTGGCCTCCCAAAGTGCTGAATTACAGGCATGAGCCACCGTGCTTGGCCCCATATTTTTATTTTTATTTTACTTAATTTTTTCCCTCAACACTAGATGACCAGGGAGGGTGTTTTTAAACTACAGCATTATTACGTTCCTCTTTGTCTTGGTATTAATAAGTAGGGCTTACTGTGTTTGTTTCTCTGTTCTGGAAAGTGTTTTAGATGCATTTGCTTAGGTAATTTGTATTTTCCATACCCAATTAATTTTGTTTATTTATTTAGTTTGAGACAGAGTATCACCCTGTCACCCAGGCTGGAGTGCAGTGTAATGATCCTGGCTCCCTGCAACCTTGGTCTCCGGGGTTCAAGTTATTCTCCTGCCTCAACCTCCTGAGTAGCTGGGACTACAGGTGCGCACCACCATGCCCTGCTAATTTTTGTAATTTTAGTAGAGACGGGGTTTTGCCATGTTGGCCAGGCTGGTCTCGAACTCCTGGCCTCAAGCGATCCGCCTGCCTCAGGTTCCCAAAGTGCTGGGATTACAGGCATGAGCCACTGTCTGGCCTATTTATGTATTTTTTTGAGACAGGGTCTTACTCTGTAGTCCAGGCTGGAGGGCAGTGCCACGATGTCAGCTCACCGCCACCTCCACCTCCTGGTCTCAAGCCAGCCCCCCACCTCAGCCAACTTTCTTTTTTTGTTTTTTTTTTTGGAGTGTGGTGGCGCAATCTCGGCTCACTGCAACCTCCGCCTCCTGGGTTCAAGCGATTCTTCTGCCTCAGCCTCCCAAGTAGCTGGGACCACAGGCACGTGCCACCACGCCCAGCTAATTTTTTTGTATTTTTAGTAGAGACGAGGTTTCACCGTGTTGGCCAGGATGGTCTTGATCTCTTGACCTTGTGATCTACCCGCCTCGGCCTCCCAAAGTGATGGGATTACAGGCGTGAGCCACCGAGCCCGGTCCTCAGCCAACTTTTTTACGTAACTTTATTTTTTTCCCCTGAGACAGAGTCTCGCTCTGTCACCAGCTGGAGTGCAGTGGTGCAATCTCGACTCACCGCAACATCCACCTCCTGGGTTCAAGTGATTCTCCTGCCTCAGCCTCCTGAGTAGCTAGTATTATAGATGCCCACCACCACACCTGGCTCACTTTTTATATTTTTGGTAGAGTTGGGGTTTCACTATGTTGGCCAGGCTGGTCTGGAACTCCTGACCTCCAGTGATCTGCCCACTGAGGCCTCCCAAAGTGCTGGGATTACAGGCATGAGCCACCGTGTCCGACCTCTATATAACTTTTATATAAACGTTACTGTTTTTTACTGAAACTAATAAAAGTTATCGTAAAAATTTAACTTTGGCTGGGCGCATTGCTCACACCTGTAATCCCAGCTCTTTGGGAGGTGGAAGCAGGCAGATGGCTTGAGGTCCTGAGTTTGAGACCCAGCATGGCCAACATGGTGAAACCCTGTCTCTACTGAAGATACAAAAATTTGCTGGATGTGGTGGCGAGTGCCTGTAGTCCCAGTCACTCAGGAGGCTGAGGCAGGAGAATCACTTGAACCCTGGAGGTAGACGCTGCAGTGAGCCCAAATTGTGCCACTGCACTGCAGCCTGGGCGACAGTGAGACTCCATCTCAAAAATAAATAAATTAATTAATAATTTTAAAAAATTAAAAGTAGGATTATTACTTTGAAATATATACTTATCAGGAAAGATGTTTCCTGAGGAGCCCATGATAGTCATAGTTTTCTTACTCTTCATTGGCTGGTGGTAAATATAGGAATGCAGTCAACAAATGTATAACGGCTAATAAAGGCAGATTTTTTTTCTCATGATATAGTGTTAAATTTTGTTTTTCTTTCTCTGGAATTAAAATAGTTATGAAGGGGAAAAATGTGGATTTCAAAGAGGGATTCTACAAGAAAATTTTGTCGTATTTTTTTTTTTTTTTTTTTTTAGAGACGGAGTTTCGCTCTCGTTACCCAGGCTGGAGTGCAATGGCGCGATCTCGGCTCACCGCAACCTCCGCCTCCTGGGTTCAAGCAATTCTCCTGCCTCAGCCTC